AATAGCTTCCTTGACCCTACGTGTGTACCAGTGAGGATTTATTATTGCATCTACCACGATGAATAACAACCACCTTTTCCTCAACATGTTGTATTGTTGTTGTTGTTGTTGTTGTGGATGTTGTTGTTTCTCAAAATGAACTCACTGAGACAGAAAAACGAGATGTTATGATGTGAAAAACCATGTTGCTGACGAGGAGCCCATGGCGCGGGCCCTTAGCCTCCATATGTATTATACCCTTGAGTCAACAACATTTCCTGCGAAAAATACTGTTTCCGTCGCGGGCCGCTTGGGCTCAATTTCACTCTTAAAAAAGAGGCAGACGATGTCGATACACATTCTTTTGTACTTCGTTTGTTTCCATGATCATTTAGTGATCTCTTCCTGTTACTACAGCCAAGGGAGGTTTTAGGTTGAATGAATAACTGCTAATATTAAACTTTCCTGACCTTGAAGCCGTCGAATTTCTAAACTGAACCACGCAACATGGAGTCGCACTCGCGATCGAGCGCAACTAATTCGCTTCTGCTGCGCTGATTAGTCCAATAATGTAGCTTAACAAATATAAAGAAAGTCTCAGTGCTCTTTTAACAGGGCCTGTCTCAGGTGAAAACAGAGATAACAAAAGAAAAGCTGTGTTATGCGATTATCAAGTAACCCAGAAAACACTGGCTCAAACTAACAGTACTTGTCAAGGTCAATTTCATCACATAAAACGCAGCAACAAATTCAACTTTTATTGCTTGGTCATGGGCTCCTGTCGTGGCGCATACAATATGATTCTCATGGGACTTGTGTTTTCTGTCTGAATTTTTTTTTTCTAATATGATCTAGGCCGTCAGTTCATCTGAGATGGGAAAACTATCATTGTGTTTTGTTACCATCCTTGTTGCGTTTGGTCCGTTTTTTGGAAGCCAACAGTTTGCAGTTACAGAGGCACAGCTAAATGGTAAGAAACGAGCATGGGAGCGTGCGTGCCTGCGTGTAAGCGCGCGGGCTTGATTGTTGCACGCGAGAGTAACTGCGTGTTTGAGTAAGTAAGTCAAAAGTTAAGGACATTTTGATTGTTTTCATCTTTGATCGTCGTTTCCACTTAGTGGAAAGGTGAGACTCTTTTACTGAAACCATTTTCAAAAAAGCAGACACTTTGCATTAAGAAGTAAATTATGTTAGTCCAGGAATTTCTACAATTATTCCTTATATTGCATTTCCCAGCCAACCAGTTCAATATTCTGCACCCGTGGGTTCTGGATGGTACCTTTGCGACAGACTCACCTTTCCCAGGGTGTCTGCGGGACATGCCAGATTACGATTTTTGCTTTAATTTTAAATACAACCGAAAGACTATGAGTCTCTTGACCCGCGGAGGTAGGTGACTCCCACATGAAAAGGTCGGGAATGCTCATCGTCCCACTTAAGGGCATAAAGCAGGAATTCTGGCCATCACTCACTTTTAATGCTGTAATCTGTTTCTTGATCTTAACTTTTAGGTGTCCCCAATTAGTGGAGGGTTTCATCCTCGGCTATTTTATCCAGACACGTTAATAAAGTTGTTGTTTTTGTGGGCTGTTCATGACGAAACGCCATTATTTTTAGCTGTCAAAGCATCTTTTGAGAGTGCATTCAAAATAATAATATAACGCTCTTTGTCCCTTTTTTAGGCTTGATTTCCACCGATCTCTCGAATCCGGCCAACTAGCGCGGCCTGTTCAGTTTTAAGTGGTATCTTTTAGGGGTTGAATAAGGCTAGAGCCACGCCCGGGTTGTTCCCCTTGAGGGGTTTAACTCAAATCTTCCGATAAACATCCTCGAACTTTTCATATGGGAGACCCCCGGGCTCTTGATACAGACCAATAACACTGATTGAGTTCTCTCCGAACCTTATGTTACAAGCTAAGTGGTAATATCAAACACGAAACACCGTAATAAAACACATTTCAAAACTCCGAGAATAGAGTTGAAAATACGACGTGTAGCGAAGTATTTTTGACAAACTTCGAGGTGTTTGGAAATGTGGTCAAACACTGTCTTGAGTTTTGATATATCTTCTCAATCGAAACTAAAACTAAGGAGAAAACGGAGAAATAAAATCATAAAAATCTGTGCTAATTAAGATCAGACATCCAAACACT